TCGACTGTGATTGGTCAATTTCTTACTCTTACTTCTTACTTCGTGTATTGTAGACGGGCCTTTACAGTCGATTATTCTTCTCATATTCGACTGTGATTGGTCAATTTCTTACTCTTACTACTTACTCTGTGTATTGTAGACGACGCCTTATGGGTTGCACATTTCAGCCGATTTTCGACTCGGTTTTCTCTTATCTCATCGTCCCGCGCATTGTTCTGTGTCAAGCTGCACTTGAATCGAGCGCGGAGCGATGAGATAATGAGAATGATGACGTTAGGCGAAGTCGTGCTTAGCTCTGAAGAAACTAATTTAATTTACTAAATTATTGACATGTATCCCCCCCTCTCTCTGCCTCTCTCTCGCTCTCGCTCTCTCGCTCTCGCTCTCTCGCTCTCGCTCTCGCTCTCTCGCTCTCGCTCTCGCGCTCTCGCTCTCGCGCTCTCGCTCTCGCGCTCTCGTTCTCGCTCTTTCGCTCCCCCCCTCTCTCTCTATCTCTTATCAATATCAATAATTTAGCAAATCAAAATTGCCAGAAAAGAAAGGCTACGAGTGAAACATTACAATAAAATATTTTTTCATTAAATATTTTTCGAGTTCTAAGACTCGAAAGTTACAGTAACAGCTTGCATTAGCATTACGCAAGGTGTCTGATTGACGGCTAAAACCTCTTGAATTGTTGTTCAGGATCACGTTCTGGATAATATTTGTCAAGATCAAAGTCATTGGAGACTCTACCTCTTATTTTCATTTTTATGTAAAACTAAATTTTTAGTGCAAAAATGAATATAAGAGAATTAATCTCCAATAGCCTTGATCTTGACAAATGTTATCCAGGACATGATCCTGAACAACATTCAAGAGGTTTTAGCCGTCGGTCGGACAACTTGCGTAATGCTAATGCCAAATGTACTGTAACTTTCGAGCCTTATAATTCGAAAAATACTTAATGAAAAAATATGTTATTGTAACGGTTTTAAAAGCTTTCGAGCTACAAAAAAAGTGTAACAAAAAATAGGGGGTTTCATTTAAAAAAATCGCCGTGACCTTGACCTGGCCTCGGCGACGCCACTATAGGTCAAATTAATGATACATTCTTGTCCCCCTCCGAACCATACAATTTTTATTTAAAACATTTTTCCGTATTTACTATAATTTTCGAGAAATTTTAATGCATAATTTAAAATGGGACACCCTGCATATAAGCTGCGTAAGTACGTTCAGAAACGTCATCCGATTGTTCTAATGTGTCATTGTAGTGTTATTGCCCTAATGCGTTATTGTATCTTTATCGTTTATTAGACATAAAACAAATATATAATGACACTAGGATGAAGTTTCTGAACGTAACCGTAGTAATATAGTATAATTAGATATAAACATGTACATACACTTACTGACTATGGCCCAATTCCATAACTCACAGTTAACTGAGGTTCAACTTATTCATAGTCTCTTTCCAATTCTAGAATTTGGAACCTCTGTTAAAAGTTAACCATGAGTTGTGGAACTGGGCCTAAAATTGATCTATTTTTTCAGTGGATCTCGGAATGCAGCAGATACTCACCGAGCAATTGGTTCTTACTTATGGATCCATAAATAATAACCAATCGCTTAGTAAGGCTGCATTTCGAAACCCACTAAAAAAGTGTTGCAACCGTTTAGTTGCTGACTACATATATACATACGCATGTAGTCAATAATGTCTTTCCGCTTGAAGTTAGCCACGTTTCAGGTAATCACATCGCATCTAGATATTCGTTTGTATGAATCCAATTTGTTAAAATTTGCATTTGTTATATTATTATTTATATATGTGTATATCTGAAATACATATATTTAAACAGTTATTTTAACACTAATGATACGTATGCGATGCGTTTGCTTAAGGCTGGCTTCCATGAGCAGAAATTTGCAGCAGAACGGATTAGTGCGAGCAATGACAACTCTGCAGTCATTACTGTGCTTCCTTTTCTGCGATTGTGATTTGTCTCGTTGTTCCGTTCCGCTATTAAATTTACGCTCATGGGACGTTGGCTTGAAATGCAGCTTCATTTCAAGCGAAAAGGTATTATTCACCACGTGTATACATTATCAATAAAATAATTATATACCATCATGTAATATCGAAATTTTCTTTTAGCGAATCAATCAGGCGGTGCATCGTCTTCTACAGAAGGAGAGGCGCAAGGAGCAGCGCCAAAGCAAACGCAAATATGCCGGCGATATGTACGTACCACCAACATACGTACCACCGGCATACGCAATGCCAAATTATATGCCGGCACCTGGATACATGCCTGGATCGGGATACGTACCAGCAGTACCGTCCGCACCAGTAGGGTACATACCCGCACCGGCGGGATACGTGTCGGCACCGGCGGGATACGTGTCGGTATCGGCGGGATACATGCCAGCACCGACAGCATATGTGCCGCCGGCACCGACAGGATATGTCCCGGCACCAACAGGATATGTGCCTTCTGCATATATGTATAAACCTTTTTGAAAAATATAAATTGATTAAATATAACATATATAAATTTATGTAATAAATATGTAATGAATAAAATAAAGAACAAAATAATACATAATAAATAAAATATAATAATTAATATAATACAAAATTTTATATTAGAGAATTTTTGCAATACCGTATATCAGATGCGGTGAACGCTAAAGTCACGTTATTTAATGGGAAGTCAAATTACATATATAGTTTGACTTTCCACAAAATAACGTGACTTTAGCGTTCATCGTATCTAGATACACGATATTGCAAAAACTCCCTATTAATTTATAATATTTGTATGTAACAGATTCTCGCCTCTGATTTGACTTCGTGAGTCGGGAGTTCGAGTCAGGCCGATATATCATGTGTCGTATGGCAAGACTTTTCAAGTCTGTTGATTGGCTGTAGGACAGAGAGATCCGAGAATCTCTGTCCTATAACCAATCAACAGGCTTGAAAAGCCTTGTCGTACGACAAATGAAATATCGGGCTGAGGCTGGCGTTTCATGAGCGGAAATTTACAGCGGAACTGAACAGCGCGGATCACAACTCTGCAGTCATTACTTTGCTTTCTTTGTTGCGGTTGTGATTGGTCTCGCTGTTCCATTTAGTAAATTTACGCTCTTGGAACGCCAGCCTGGACTCCCGACTCACGAATAAAAATTAATTGACAACGCTAACTCAAATCGAGTCAGAGATTACTATGAGATTACAACGAGTGCTTTCCATTTCTGAAATAGAAAAGATTCGTTGTAATCTCGTAGTAATTTTGACTCGATTTGAGTCAGCGTTGTCAATTAATTTTTATTCGTGAGTCGGGAGTCCAGGCTGGCGTTCCAAGAGCGTAAATTTACTAAATGGAACAGCGAGACCAATCACAACCGCAACAAAGAAAGCAAAGTAATGACTGCAGAGTTGTGATCCGCGCTGTTCAGTTCCGCTGTAAATTTCCGCTCATGAAACGCCAGCCTCAGCCCGATATTTTATTTGTCGTACGACAAGGCTTTTCAAGTCTGTTAATTGACGTTCTGACTTGCAGCTTATTGTAGAAGGCCTATTATATTCAAGACCATCAAGTACAGTCAAATGTCACGAACCAATCAGAGGGCCGTATTAGCATCTTAAGACATTATTTAAGACGATTTTGAAATAAGAACTGACTATGAATACTGGCTATGAATACTGGTCTAAAAGTCTGAGCACGAAAATTATCGTAACACTTATTGTTATGGGCCTTTTACAATAAGTCGCAAGTCAGAACGTCAGAAGTCGTTAACCAAGTCGTTCAAGTTGGCTATTGATCAACTTCACCGATTATGACTTAAGATCGCTTAGAACTTCTGATTTGCGGCTTATTGTAAAAGGCCCATAAGAGACTTACGTCTACAACTTAAATCTAAGTAAGGGTGGTATTCATAGTCGGATCTCATATTTAAGACCGTCAAGTACAATTTTTAGACATCACGAACCAATCAGAGAGCCGTATTAGCATCTCAAGACATTACTTAGGGCCATTCCACACAAACTTGCATAGCCGTATAACCATATGCATAAAGAAAATTATCCAATCACATTTCTGTCATAAAGACAAACGTAAAATACGATTGGATAATTTTCTTTATGCATATGGTTATGCGGCTATGCAAGTTTATGTGGAATGGCCCTAAGTAATGTCTTGAGATGCTAAT